AGGCCATCTTGAGGGTCAAGTGCTTAGCCTCAGCTGACTCCAGGGGTTTGAAGGGGGCCTCAGCCAACGCCCCAAGAACCACTGCCAGATCCCAAGTGGGAACCTTGGACCGAGTCGCAGGTCTCATCCTCCGGGCACCACGGAGGAAAAGTACAACCAAGGGAAGTTTCCCCAAGAACCCCTCCCTCAGAGGGGTGTGGAAAGATGAAATAGCTGCCACGTACACCTTGAGGGTGGAAGGGGAAAGACCAGCAGAGAACCGGTCCTGGAGGAACTCAAGTACCTGAACCACCGGGCAGGTAACAGGGTCCACCGACCACTCCCTACACCAAGTGGAGAAAACACTCCACTTCAGGCCGTACATCCTCCGTGTGGACGGGGCCCTGGAGCTCAGGAGGGTCTCGACTGCTCCGGCTGTTAGACCCGCCTCTAGGTACTGTGCCCCCTCAGGGGCCAGACCCACAGTCGCCATATGGCGGGGCAAGGGTGAAGAACCCGGCCCTGCGCCTGGGACAGCAGGTCTCTCCTCAGAGGGACCCGCCACGGCGGGCCGTCCAGGAGCGACATGATGTCCGAGAACCACACCCGGGTTGGCCAGAACGGGGCTACGAGCAGTAGGCCGACATAGTCCTGGCGGACCCACTCCAGAACCCCGGGAGCAGAGCGACTGGGGGAAAAGCGTACAGACGTAGCCTCGGCCACGAATGTACCATGGCGTCCAGACCCAACGGGGCTGGAGGAACGAGAGAAACATAGCGGGCAGTGCGTAGTCTCTTGAGACGCAAACAGATCCACGTCTATGGGGCTCGAACCACTTCGGGGTGAAGTCTCCATTCCCCGGGCCTCAGCCCCTGCCTCAACAGCAGGTCTGCTCCCTGATTCTGCGTCCCCAGGAGATACATCGCCCTGAGCGATAGTAACCTCTGCTGGGACCACAGGAGGATCTGACGCGCCAGTCTGTCCAGAGGGCGCGAGCGCAGACCGCCCTGGTGATTCAGATAGGCCACCACCGCTGTGTTGTTCTCTTCGGAACGAACCAGGACGTGGTGGCCTTGGAGATCGGGCAGGAAACTCCTTAGAGCCTGGAACACCGCCAACATCTCGAGACAGTTGATATGCCACTCGGATTGATGCACCTGCCAGGATCCCCTTGCAAAGCGGCCGTCCATGACCGCGCCCCAGCCCGTGAGGGAGGCGTCTGTTGAAAGAACCAGCCGGCGACAAGACCCTCCCAGCACGGGCCCCTGGGACAGGAACCAAGTTTCCTTCCAAACTGATAGGGAACGAAGACACTTGTGCGTAACCCAAACCAGACGGAGAGGATTCCCCTCGGGGAAAAACCCTTGTTCCTTAGCCACCACTGCAGGGGTCTCATGTGCAGCAGTCCAGATGGTATTACGCTGGACGCAGCCGCCAGGAGACCCAACACTCGTTGAAAGTGTTTCATAGTGATGGCGTGGCCTAACTTCACCCCTTTCACGGCAGCCAATATGGTGTCGACACGTGCCGGAGACAATTGTGCCCGCATCGTTGTCGAATCCCATACAACCCCTAGGAACGTAGCCCGTTGGGTGGGCGCCAGCACGCTCTTCTTTGCGTTGAGCCTCAGCCCTAAACGCCGCAGACGAGCCAGAACGACATCTCGATGCCGAACTGCCAACTCTCGAGACTGGGCTAGGATGAGCCAGTCGTCGATGAAGTTGAAACCCGGATGCCCCGGAGCCTCAGCGGGGCCAGTGCTGCATCCATACACTTGGTGAATGTGCTAGGGGAAGTGCCAGGCCGAATGGAAGAACCCGATACTGGTAAGCCACACCCCCGAAGGCAAACCTCAGGAACTTCCTGTGAGAAGGACGGATGGAGACCTGGAAATAGGCGTCCTTTAGATCTATCGTGACGAACCAATCCTCAGATTGGATGTGCGTCACGGTGGCGGGGATGATGAGCATCTTTAACCTGAATCTCCTCAGAGACCGGTTAGAACCCGCAGATCCAAAATAGGGCACGCAGCCCTCCGTCCTTCTTGGGGACTATGAAGTACCGGCGTCTCTGTCTGGGGGGGAGACACGTTCCACGGCCCCTTTCCTCAGCAGAGTACAAACTTCCTGTCCCAACACCGGACCTTGCTCCGGGCGGACCACAGTCCAAACCACCCCCTCTCTTCTGTTGAATTTGGAGGGCGGGTTTTGAACTGTAGTCGATACCCATCTATGGCAGTGCGCAGGACCTGCGGAGAAATGTTCGTCAGGCTCCGCCAAGCGTCTGCAAAGTCTGCCAACGGAACCAGCCCCTCGGGGCTGGTGGTCGGTGTCTCGTGTGATCTTCTGGTGGACCCCTGAAGCCCCAGAACGGCAGGGGGGAGCCGCCGAAGATCCACGGTGAGTGAGTTGGGATGCCGTCCACCTGCAGACCCTCGGGGCAGGCAGTACGGCGCGGACTCGGTGGTGGCAGGTGCGTCCTGAACGTGTAAACGGCGGGATAACATCACCTGTTGCCACGGCGGAGGGGACCTCGGTCGGCCTCCGGGGGGGGGGGGGGGGGGGGGCAGGAGGGGAGAAAGACTCCCTACCCCGGTCTTCCCTGAGTTCCGTCGGGACTGGATGACGGTCCTCAGATCGCGTCTCTCAGACGGCTGAGGGTGAGAGCGCTGTCTCGCTGCCCCAGCTCCTCGGGGGGCCCCCGAGAAGCGACACTCTGCTTCCCTCCTCTCCGTAGGAGCTCGTAGAGGGAAGGGACCTACGCCTGGCAGCCTCAGCTGCCTTGGGTCCAGACCGGCGAGGGAGGTACTGGCGGAACGCTTCGCACTGCGTCTAACGCTTCGTGGTTCTGCGAAGCTCCGCCAGATCTTCCTCGGAGGGACCCCCCCTCTGAACCATCTCCTGTAGCAGGTCGGCTTGGTAGGCTTGAAGCACCGTGGTGTGCAAGCTCGCACCTGCCTGGCCCGCTGGCATGTACGCCTTCCCCACAAGCGTGGATGTGGTGCGACATGGTTTGGATGGTAACGCCGGCTTCTCCAGGGAGGACGCAAGTCGAGGGGAGAGATAGCTCGCAAGCTCATCCTCCACCCGAGGCATCCTCCCATAACCACGGTCCCTAACCCCCATCACATTACTGTAGTTCAGTGATCGGGGTGTGGAAAGCCATGTAGAGAAGGGTCTGCCCCATGATTTACTCAGTTCATCATGTAAATCAGGAAAGAATGGCAGAGACCGGCGTGGAGGTGGCGTGTGGTGCTTAAGAAACCTTTCATCAAGCTACCACTAGCCTGTGGTGTCTGCTCCTCCCGTGGCCAGTTGATGTTGAGCTTAGCCACGGCTCTAGTCACCACCTCCAGCAGCACATCATAGTCGGGCGCGGCCAGATGACGCCGCCCCGACACCCGGAAGTCATCGTCGACTGCGCTGAGCACGTCCGCCTCCTCGGAGTCGGATTGCTGCAGCGCCTCCGGATCCAAAACCGCGAGCGGGAGAAGCCGAGAACGGGCTCCCGAACGAGGAAAGGAAGCGTCGGAGCCAGCGGATGAAGGTCGGGAAAAAGCCTCAGCCGTCCCGAAATCCTCCGACAGATCACGCTGTGAACCCATGAGTGAAGCCGCCGGGCCGCCTCAGCGGCCGCAGGGCCCGCACCACGGGGAAAGCACATCCGGCCATACTCGGAAAAGAGAGCCATGCTGTACCTCAGTACCCGCACGGAAAGGGCTTCGCAACGGGCGCAGGCAGCCCCCTCGAGAGCTGCCCGTGCGTGCTCCATCCCCAAACATGAGAGACACATCTCATGAGAATCTCCATCCGTGATGTACCGAGGGCAAGAAAAAACACACCTTCTGTACATCTGGTTGCCGGACATGCTGGTAGACTTCTTCTTCAGGTAAGACATACTGCTTGTAGGACTGGAGCTTTCTTCAAACAACATACAGAGCGCCTGCTGAATAAAAAAAAGCTAATGATGAGTGTGTACAGGTGTGCTTTATACTCCTCCGGTTATTCCGTCACACCTTACCGTTCTAGCAACAGGCCAATAGGATTGGAGTGATTTCATTCACGTTCAGACCTGCTTCGCCTAGAGGCGTTCCCATAGTGTCGTAACCGACGCAGTTCGAGTTCCCTCGAAGGGGAACTAACTGACACTGTGACATCCTACATCAGTTTTTTAGAGGACATTAGTGTGCCGACTAAAACCTTCCGCACATACAACAACCAAAAACCCTGGTTCACATAGAAACTCAGGGAGCTTCGTCAGACCAAAGAGGAGGCCTTCAGAAGTGGGAACAGAGTCCTGTACAACCAGGCCAGGAACACACTGACTATAGAGGTCAAAGCAGTAAAGAGGAGCTACGCTGAAAGCTAGAAAACAGTTTCATAGCCACCAACCCTGCATCAGTGTTGAGAGGCCTGCAGGACCGCCTTCAAGCTCCTCTGGTTCAAATAGGCTATCCCCTGTTCTAGTGTTCAAGTCCCCACAGATTAACACATTTCCTGTGGTTTTATAATGGTTAATTTCTTCCTAAAGAATAGAGAAAATATCTGGGTTGTAGTAGGGGGATTCTAATTGAGGTATATAGATGGCACACATGTAGACATGTTGCTCAGCACAAAGCATCTTTGTTGATTTTCAGAAATATACAAGATTCTTCTTTTTTAATTTACTGTAATGTTCTGGCTCAGTTCTGATTTACACCATATAATCATCTTGTATCACTATTCATTTAGAATTATATATATATATCATGCTAAACTATTATCATGTGATATCTTTAAGAGGTCTCTGATCTTCTACCATGTAGCTACAAGAGGCGAGAGCGGGTTTAGCATATGTAATATTTATTTGAGGTCTTTTGTCTCTCTCTCTCTCTCTCTCACCTCTATAGGTTCATTTGGTTCAGTGGTGGAGCTCAGAGTTTTCTTCTTCCTGGATTGAGTCCAACAACAACAAATACAAATTTTAACATGATAAAATTCACAAAACTAAAACTAAAAGAAGTTTGAAGAATAAAAGAGCGGACATGTCAGACAAGAAACAGACCGTGGACCTGGGCTTACTGGAGGAAGATGACGAGTTTGAAGAATTCCCAGCCGAAGATTGGACGGGGCTGGATGAAGATGAAGATGCTCATGTTTGGGAAGACAACTGGGATGATGACAATGTAGAGGATGATTTCTCAAATCAACTGAGGGCTGAGCTGGAAAAACATGGTTACAAGATGGAGACGTCATAGCGGCTGACAAGGCCTTTCAGTATTCAACGACATTGGATATGGACATTTATATTTGAACATGGTTGACCACACACCAACTGAAGAGATTTGATGATGTTGATTTGTTTCTCTCTTTTTTTTTTTTCTTTTTTTTTTTGTAAAAAAAATTGATAGAAGTAAAGTGTTTGGAGAAAAAAAAAAAAAAAAAAAAAAAAAAAAAAAAAAAAAAAGAATAAAAGAGCGGTGACTGAACTGATGGATTGTAATTGTTTTACCTCATCCACAGATTCAGGAGAAGCAGAGTAATCAGCATCAAGACCACCAGAGTCAACCTGATGATATTCATTATTATTGATGAATTCCCTAAAAATACAGACAGATGTAAGGTCCCTCATTAGCAGGATTATATAAATAAATCACTTTGCCAGGTGATTCTGTCTGTTAGTCAGTCAGTCAGTGTGATCCACCTCTGACATGATGGAGGAAATGCAGACAGGACATTTATTTTCTTATGTGAGTGAGAATGTGTCGATTTTTACATATTAATATGTGAATCAGGTCTGGTGCAGTAAATGTCTGTGTATACAGGTGAATGTAGAAAACTTACCTGCCACAACAATCAGATGTAAGGTGGAGTTATGACGTCCTCTTCTGTTCTGGGCTTCACAGTAATAATTCCCACTGTGTTCAGCTCTGAAGTCAGTGATGGTGAAGTTCTGTCCTGATGCTTTTGGTGAGTCTTCATTCTCCTTGTACCAGGTGTATTTAGCTGCTGGGTTAGCATCACTGCTGCAGGTCAGAGTCACTGAACTGCCCTCCACTATCTCAGCAGAGGGACTCACTGACACAGAGGGAAGCTTTGGAGCATCTGGAAAAGATCAAATAAATGAACAAAAATGAGGACAGATTTGTGTTGTGCTGAAATGAGTAATAGTTTTGAGTGTGGAAGCATCTGAAACTTTGGAGATGGTTTTGTGACTGGCAGCAGGCAGAGTTGTGTGTTGTGGCCTTTTGAGTTATACTCATTAAAATCTTAGAGGAGACCAGAGGAATGTCCCTCATACAAGTTTATGAGTAAACAGAGGTAAGTTATATCACACAAGAATGTTGCAATGTGTTGTAAATACTGCAGTAATGGCCCTGATTGACTATCGAAAAGCAGAGTTGGATATACAGGTATATACTTAGTGATATATTACTGGTTAGTACCAGATAAGATACACTTTATGTCATTTATGTTTTGACATGTATTTGTCACAATTGCTATTTAAAAGAAACATACAAGTGTTTCTGCTTTACTGCAGATGACTGATGATGGTTGGACTGTTATTTAATTACATGGGGTTCAAAACCTTAGCCCTTCCTACAATCCAAACACGTTTGCCTCTTAACAAAATCCAGTATAGTATATGAACATACAGGTACATCTCAGGTACAAATTAGAATATTGTGTAAATAAAAGATTTTTTAGACATAAAGTGAAAAACTAAAAGCCTTTTATGTTTTAATTTTCATGATTAGCAGCCTTCAGAAGATTGTCAAGCAAAGCCGATTCAAGAACTTGGGGGAGTTTCACAAGGAGTGGACTGAGGCTGCAGTCAGTGCATCAAGAGCCACCAGGCACAGACATGTCCAAGAAATGAGCTACAATATAACAGAACTAATATTCTATTTTTTTTTTTTTTGATTTCCATGAGCTGTAAGCCATAATCATCAAGAGTAAAACAAATAAAGGCCTGAATTTCACTTTATGTGTAATGAATCTAGACTACATTCACTTTATGACTTCAATTATGGGGAAAAAATAAACATTTTCACAATATTGAAATTTTCTGAGATGCACAAGTAATTTTGGGGATATAGAGTCGATAACAGGACAGAAGCCTGTGGCCACGCCAGATGTTGGATGCTGGATGTTGTATTTGTGTGGGAGCATCTGAAACTTTAGAGGTGGTTTTCTGGATTACTGAAGGTTTGAATCCCCTGAACATCTGTGCAGATTTGGCAGACCAATTGTAAATAAATCTGCCTTTTCACTACTGTAGCTGCTCAGTGAACTACAGCAGCAGACTGTGAATGTGAAACAGGCAGAGCTGAAAGTGCATGATCAGCAAAACATTTGACTGGATAATTAAGCTTTAAAAAGTTATTGTCTGCTTGTAGCCTTTTAAATTTGCTGTGTTTTACTCACATTTTACATTAACATGGACTAATCCAGATGTCCTCATTCCCAGCTTGTTCTCAGCTGCACAGTAATACTTTCCAGAGTCAGAGGACTGGATGGAGCCGAAGACAAGCTGTGTTTTTGTATTGCGAGGAAGAAGGTGGTTTAGATTGCCTTTCTCCTTGTACCAGGTATAAGTAGCTGCTGGGTTAGCCTCACTGATACAGGTCAGAGTCACTGATCTGCCCTCCACTATCTCACCAGAGAGACTCACTGACACAGAGGGAAGCTTTGGAGCATCTGGAAAAGATCAAATAAATGAACAAAAATGAGGACAGATTTGTGTTGTGCTGAAATGAGTAATAGTTTTGAGTGTGGAAGCATCTGAAACTTTGGAGATGGTTTTGTGACTGGCAGCAGGCAGAGTTGTGTGTTGTGGCCTTTTGAGTTATACTCATTAAAATCTAAGAGGAGACCAGAGGAATGTCCCTCATACAAGTTTATGAGTAAACAGAGGTAAGTTATATCACACAAGAATGTTGCAATGTGTTGTAAATACTGCAGTAATGGCCCTGATTGACTATCAAAAAGCAGAGTTGGATATACAGGTATATACTTAGTGATATATTACTGGTTAGTACCAGATAAGATACACTTTATATGTCATTTATGTTTTGACATGTATTTGTCATAATTGCTATTTAAAAAAAACATACAAGTGTTTCTACTTTACTGCAGATGACTGATGATGATTGGACTGTTATTTAATTACATGGGGTTCAAAACCTTAGCCCTTCCTACAATTCAAACATGTTTGCCTCTTAACAAAATCCAGTATAGTATATGAACATACAGGTACATCTCAGAAAATTAGAATATTGTGTAAATAAAAGATTTTTTAGACATAAAGTGAAAAACTAAAAGCCTTTTATGTTTTAATTTTCATGATTAGCAGCCTTCAGAAGATTGTCAAGCAAAGCCGATTCAAGAACTTGGGGGAGTTTCACAAGGAGTGGACTGAGGCTGCAGTCAGTGCATCAAGAGCCACCAGGCACAGACATGTCCAAGAAATGAGCTACAATATAACAGAACTAATATTCTATTTTTTTTTTTTGATTTCCATGAGCTGTAAGCCATAATCATCAAGAGTAAAACAAATAAAGGCCTGAATTTCACTTTATGTGTAGTGAATCTAGACTACATTCACTTTATGACTTCAATTATGGGGAAAAAATAAACCTTTGCACAATACTGAAATTTTCTGAGATGCACAAGTAATTTTGGGGATATAGAGTCGATAACAGGACAGAAGCCTGTGGCCACGCCAGATGTTGGATGCTGGATGTTGTATTTGTGTGGGAGCATCTGAAACTTTAGAGGTGGTTTTCTGGATTACTGAAGGTTTGAATCCCTGAACATCTTTGCATATTTGGCAGACCAATTGTAAATAAATCTGCCTTTTCATCATCTACTGTAGCTGCTCAGTGAACTACAGCAGCAGACTGTGAATGTGAAACAGGCAGAGCTGAAGAAAGTGCATGATCAGCAAAACATTTGACTGGATAATTAAGCTTTAAAAAGTTGTCATTGGCTGCTTGAAGCCTTTTAAATTTGCTGTGTTTTACTCACATTTCACATCAATAAAGACTGATTCAGATTTCTTCCTCCCCAGCTCGTTCTCAGCTGCACAGTAATACTTTCCAGAGTCAGAGGACTGGATGGAGCCGAAGACAAGCTGTGTTTTTGTATTGCGAGAATGAAGGTGGTTTAGATTGCCTTTCTCCTTGAACCAGGTATAATTAGCTGCTGGGTTAGCCTCACTGATACAGGTCAGAGTCACTGATCTGCCCTCCACTATCTCACCAGAGAGACTCAGTGACACAGAGGGAAGCTTTGGAGCATCTGGAAAAGATCAAATAAATGAACAAAAATGAGGACAGATTTGTGTTGTGCTGAAATGAGTAATAGTTTTGAGCGTGGAAGCATCTGAAACTTTGGAGATGGTTTTGTGACTGGCAGCAGGCAGAGCTGTGTGTTGTGGCCTTTTGAGTTATACTCATTAAAATCTTAGAGGAGACCAGAGGAATGTCCCTCATACAAGTTTATGAGTAAACAGAGGTAAGTTATATCACACAAGAATGTTGCAATGTGTTGTAAATACTGCAGTAATGGCCCTGATTGACTATCGAAAAGCAGAGTTGGATATACAGGTATATACTTAGTGATATATTACTGGTTAGTACCAGATAAGATACACTTTATATGTCATTTATGTTTTGACATGTATTTGTCATAATTGCTATTTAAAAAAAACATACAAGTGTTTCTACTTTACTGCAGATGACTGATGATGATTGGACTGTTATTTAATTACATGGGGTTCAAAACCTTAGCCCTTCCTACAATCCAAACACGTTTGCCTCTTAACAAAATCCAGTATAGTATATGAACATACAGGTACTTCTCAGAAAATTAGAATATTGTGTAAATAAAAGATTTTTAGACATAAAGTGAAAAACTAAAAGCCTTTTATGTTTTAATTTTCATGATTAGCAGCCTTCAGAAGATTGTCAAGCAAAGCCGATTCAAGAACTTGGGGGAGTTTCACAAGGAGTGGACTGAGGCTGCAGTCAGTGCATCAAGAGCCACCAGGCACAGACATGTCCAAGAAATGAGCTAGAATATAACAGAACTAATATTCTAATTTTATTTTTTGATTTCCATGAGCTGTAAGCCATAATCATCAAGAGTAAAACAAATAAAGGCCTGAATTTCACTTTATGTGTAGTGAATCTAGACTACATTCACTTTATGACTTCAATTATGGGGAAAAAATAAACCTTTTCACAATATTGAAATTTTCTGAGATACACAAGTAATTTTGGGGATATAGAGTCGATAACAGGACAGAAGCCTGTGGCCACGCCAGATGTTGGATGCTGGATGTTAGAGCTGAAGAAAGTGCATGATCACCAAAACATTTGACTGGATAATTAAGCATTAAAAAGTTGTCATTGTCTGCTTAAAGCTTTTTAAATTTGCTGTGTTTTACTCACATTTCACATTAATAGGGACTAATTCAGATGTCCTCATTCCCAGATCATTCTCAGCTGCACAGTAATACCCCCTCTAGAGTCAGAGGGCAGGATGGAGCTCAAGATAAGCTGTGGTTCTTTACTGGGAAGATGAAGGTTTGGATTTCCATGATATTTATACCAGGTATAAGTAGCTGCTGGGTTAGCATCACTGCTGCAGGTCAGAGTCACTGAACTGCCCTCCACTATCTCAGCAGAGGGACTCACTGACACAGAGGGAAGCTTTGGAGCATCTGGAGGAGAAAACGTGAACACATGTAACATTTCATTTCAAGATGAGGTTGAGTTTTCACAGTGGAGCATTTTAAATGGACAATATTTCATATGAACATAAAGCGGAGGTGCAGCTTGATTTCCTCCTGTATCAGAAACTACATGGGTTCTTGTTACCATGGATTCAAGTTGGACACTTTGATACTGAAGCAATGGACTGAAGGAGAGTGGTAATCTTTATGTCCTTTGTCCATTCTTGTACCAGATGTAGGAAGGATGACCAGGTGGAAGACAACTGCTGTGACACTTCAGCTCTGCCCAGTTATAAGACTCATAGACCTGAAATCTGCTCACCTGCACCTGGAGATCTGAATAAGGGAAATCTTAATTTTAACATACACACAATCAAATAGAGATGTGAGTAACCTTCATAAAGTGTTGAACACATGAAACTAAATTAATAAATATTCAGATGAAATTGTTACCTGTAACAGACAGAGTGACTCCAGGTGAACCAGTATATTTCCCACCTGGTTGGTTTGTTATGAACCTGAACTTGTACTCAGCTGAGTCGCTCTCTCTCAGGTCTGTGACTCTCAGAGTGCAGCGGTTCTCATTAAAGATATACGTCACCCGACCTAAATACTCTGACTTTGTTTTCAGATCCACAGTTTCATCACCTTTAAACCAGAATGTTTTCTCAACTGTAGTATCGTTGCCATTTATTCTGGATGGGTATGTGTAGGTGCAGCTCATGTCCACAGTTGATCCTTTGAAGGCACAGATCTCAGTAGAAGTGTAAGTCACTCCCCAGTCATTCTGACTCTGTACCACTGTAACACAGAGCACATCAGACACAAAAAAACATTAATAACTGAATTTAGCAATCAGTTAGTGGATCATACTACCTATAGGATTTAGTTGAAATGTAATGTGGACAAAATCCTCAATTATCTGACTGATTATCTGCAGTCATTGTCAAAAAAAATTCCTGAACCAAAATAGACAATTTTACAAGGTGTTCATCATATTTTAATGTTACTTCTGGGTGTTTCTGCTTTTGTCCATTCATTCAAAAAAAATTAAGCAAAATACCTAAAAGTGCAGCGTATTTCAACACACAAGTAATCCAAACAGAAAATGAATAAAATGACAAACTTTACTAGAATAGAGTAGAACAGCAGTAGGCAACATCAAAGACTCATAGATGTCTGTATCCTTCTTCTCACAAGGTCATTTCTAACTAAAGCTTTATGACCTTTTTATGTTATTTCTGAATGAAACCAGGGTGAACACAGGCACAGAGAAGTCCAAACACAAAAACTTGCTCAGTTATACACAGTCAGTGCAAAGGAAGATGTAGCAGACCGGTGGTGGAACATAAGGTTTGAGATTAGGGGTGTGATGAAAAACTATGGTCAGGAGAACAAGACGAAGAATAGAAGATATAAATAAGAAGATATTTTCACAGCATTTTGAAGAAATATTTGTTAATGAAATATATGGGTGGGGTCTGGGGGTCCTCCCCCAAAAGATTTTGAGCAATAACCTCTTAATTTCCTGCATTCTGGAAACATTTTCTGCACCAATTTATGGTGGAAATTTCTTTATTTATATAAAGGGAAACAAATTAATTTGGCAGACAATAATTCAAAATATAAAAGTATAATGGAATATAATGCAGTAATCAGCAGCTTGTAACTTTTTTGGACAATGCACAGGTGTTTCTTCAATATTTAAATTGCATTGCATGTTTTCTTATTGTGCAAATAAAGCTTACTCACAGCATTTTGGTGCATATTTCTTGGTGCAAGCTATTTTTCAGAAACTATATAACAAATTATCCTCTCAAAAAGTGGTGGGACATGTCCCCATTGTCCCCAATGTTCTCTCTGTTCACTCTGCGGTCAGGTTGCTGCTGAGTTAAGTGTGACAACTAAAAATAAATGCAGCGTACTGGAGGTGTCAGAGAGTTTCTAGCAGCTAAACATAAGACGCAGAAAACTGGTATCAAGATCTCTGACTTTAGCACCCGCTGAATGAGGGTCAATTGTTGGCAGATCGTCAGGCTACATTTTGACGGACAGGGAAAAGGTTCAACAGAACGACACGTGTAGTTGGTTTAGTGTATTATGGCGATTGGTACAGACCCCTGCCTCACACACAAGACACACACAGAGCAGTCAGCTCAGGTAATATCCGGTGTTGATGGAGAATAACTAAGTTTGTCTATTAGATGGAAGAGGCATCACTTGGTTTTATTTTCGTTGGCCAACTTTTGTATTGAAAGGACTGTTTTTGTTTGCTTGCTGGGATCCAGAAGAGGTTTTTGTTGAGATATGAACTTTTGCGGAAATTTGAACTGAGATTAAGACTCATTCATTGTGGTTTAACTGTGGGTTGTGTTTTTTGTCTTCTGGTACCAGTAAGTTACCTTTGAAATATCTGGCTGATTGTTAGATGAGGTGAAATTATGTCATGTACTGAAAGACATGCACGTATAATGTTTTTTGTGTTTAAAATTTGTATGACAACATTATTTACATTAAAATATGTCTTATTCCTTCATTTAGTCTGTCTTGGTGCAGACTAAAAAACTTGCTTGTCACAGTCAGGCAGTGAAGAAAGTTAATTTTGGACACAGAGCATGGAAACATCACACTGAGATCAGACAGTAGGAACTAGCAGGGGTTTCGTTCAGATGAAGATATGACAGAAGTAGTGTCAGAAGGACTTCACTGTGTGAGACCAGTAGGCTATCCCTCTAAAAACCTTCACCGTGATAAAAGTAGCTGCAGATAGGAACTAATCGTCCACCATCTTCTGCAACCAGAGTCAACTGTCGAACACATTAAGGCAACAGGTTTCAGCAGAGAAAGGATTAACAGTCATGAATAAAACCCCAAATATTCTCAGTTTACCGCATGTAAAAGTGATTAGCACACAATTACCTTGTGTAAAAGACAAGAGTAAAGGCCTACACAAAATTTGATCTTCCTTATATTCATTATAACTGACACAAAAAAAAATAAAAAATAAAAATAACTGACACAAAAACAAACTGTAGTGCATTTGACTCATAACAGTTTAAAATAGCACTGTAGCAGCAGGACAGAGGGTAAGTGACCCTCGACGGGGAGATTAGTGATTGGTGGTTATGTAGGGACTGAACCCTTCTATAGAATTTGACCCCTTGTTTTGTTACCTCAGAATAGTTCTGTACCCTTCTATGGGTTGGAGCTTTATTTTGCAGACTCAAACCCCTCTATGGTACCTAACAGATGTCTGCACATATCCTATATAAGCTATGTTTGATGTACAGAGAGACAGAGTGGCCATCGGGCTGGGTCACTCTCCAAGCTGCTGCAGAGCTTGTAATTGATGCTGAACTCCTTGATGTAATAAACTTTTATGATCAAGAACAGTGTCAAGCGGATTTCTTCTCAACACATCATCGCAGCATTATTGTTCGGACACCACAATATAAAAAACATAAATAACAAATTAACATTCGGCTATTTTCCACATTACACACAAAACCAATGTTTTCACCGTTTCTGGAAAGTTTTCCTTTCACACAACTCTGATCCACTTATTTCCACATGTGACCTTCAGCCTACTTTTACAAGACATACATTTTTACATATTTCCCTATTTTAATGCAATGAATGCAAGTATAGATATTCAGTACCTGACACAGAGAGAAGGAAGACGACAAATCCTCTCGCTGCTGCAGTTAAACTCATAGCTGCTCCTCTCATCTCTCTGTGTGGCTTCAGAGACAATAAAACGTGTCAGGAGATAAAATAATGTACACAGGAGATATACAGTATCAGTCACATCAATAAACAATTCTACTTACAATGAAGAAGGGCGCTGTCTTTAAAGATACCTTTCCTCTGTGGTCCGTGAGCAAAAGACGGATATCTAAATATTAAATGACAAGATTTCCTTCCTCTTTAGATTATTTATGGCCTAAACATCATGAGCAGGATGCCAGTTAACACCAACATCACAATAAAGTAGTGACGATTTGCAAACTATAAACTTAATAAGAGAGAACAAAAAATAGTGTTATGGCCTGTTGGTACGAAACCTGTTTCGGTGCGTCCCACTGACACAAGAACAGGCCATTCAAAAAGAGAAAACTCAATTTAAAATTGAAAAGGTGTATTTGATACATCACTTGACACGTCTAGTGCATCTTTAGACAGTGAAATAACCTTTAAACCAGTATTAGTTCAGAGAGGACTGCAGCAGTATGGGATGCAAAAAGTCACGTGCTGAGCACAGTGTTTATTCAGTATTGACAAAACATGTAAGAAAAGTAGATGAGAAACAATGAATTAAACAGAAATCAGAATGTAAATAAATACTTTTCAGAATTACATTTTGCAGCTCTCTCACTCACAGTCATTGTGACTCTGTGTCACTGTAACACAGAGCACATCTGACAAGATGCTGCTGGAGGTAAGACAGAAAATATGTCTTGCTGTAATTTGGGTGAAGTGACTCTTTGAAACAGGCAGTGGAGGGAGCTCTCAAAGTGAGGAAGCCTGAATGTGCCACAACAAAGGTTCATTTCATCCTCATAGTGACAAGAACCAAGAATGTCAGAAAGCCAAAGCAAAAAAACACAATTGAATTTATTTTGTCTTGATAGCTGGGAAATAAAATAATATTCTAAAAAATAAACAGAAAAGCTGAAATGCAGAACTTTATCACACCAATGTTTCCAACTACAGAGTTGTCACACTGGACTGTCACTTGTTGTGGAAGCTGGCTGTTACTTTATAAATAATAATATATACAAAATAACATTTTCTATAACAACTTTAATCTTCACATTCTGTAATATACCTTTAAAGGGGCATTATGGAGTTTCCTGCGGCCACTAGCGTTGCGGTTCTAAGATTGCAACTAGTTGTGTGCTTGTACACGTGTTCGCTTGAACTCATGAGCGAGCATAATCCGAAACACAACCACTTTCACACAGAAATCCTGCAATAAACGCAGGAAC